ATTTTGTTTTATAAAATGAATAGCAAATAGAATTGTAAACTTAAAATATTTATTTTGTAAAACGAAACATAATTTGTTTATGTATTTATAGCTGTCTAATAAATTTAATTTTTTATATGAATAACTTTTACTGTGAAGCCTATGAAATAGATGGTCTAGATCATCAAAATGAGTTTGAATTGAAGCTCACAAGAGAAGTATAGATGCGTATAGAGAGATGATGTATGGAGGGGAGCTTATCCCGTGCTGATAAATGTCAAACCCTAAAAACGAAGTTGACCTTTGGTAAAAGAAAAAACTAATTATTTACGCTTCGTCTAATAAAAATTAATTACAAATATTTTTCGTAATTAACACAAAATAAATAAATTTGAACAATACAATTAGCATAAAAATAAAACACAAAATAGACAAATGACATTATAACGGTAAATCCTACACCGTGGGATTCATAATGTGATTATTTGTGATTCATTATGTGTTTAATTTTTTAGATAAATTATATTGACTTCCCCTAAAATTTGAAGAAAATAGAGTCGAAGTTTGATATAATTACATTGGGCTCCATTAAGGTTTTAATTCATACAACACTTGACTCCCTTTTCATCTGAAATCCGTTAGCCGTATGAATAAAAAAAATGATATTTGTCATCTATTTTACATTAAATATATATTTTACTTTATGCATCGTTGTGTCTTTATACAATTTGTATTAATTTTGATCTTGTTAACTCTACTAAAATAGATGTCAGTATAATTATGCCAAAACTATGGGCTTATTTTTTTCAAACCTCAAGGAAAGGTCAGTGAAATTTACCTTAATTTTTTTATTCCTAACTTTTTAAAATTAATCTTAGAGATTTTTTATATGGAGACCTCCTAAACTATTGAGAACTATCATTTTGGCTCTTAAATTATAAAAAAAAAAAAAACATACAAATGGATCTCCTAAGTATTGAGAAGTATCGTTTTGACCTCCTAAACTTCAAAAGCGTACAAATAAATCCCCTAAACTATTGGCATACCCCCTCTGTTACTGTACCAAGAGTTAGATCAAAATTTTGACATCTTTATATGGAAATACCCTTCAACACTTTATTTAACACCCAACAAGGCTTCCACTCAATTTTCCTTTGTCTTTTGTTTTATTATTATTATTTCTTCAATTTTTTTTTTATTTTTTGCAAAAAAAAAAAAAAATTCATAAGATTTTTTTTTTTTTGTATTTTTAGATACATCTAATCTGGATGCATCTAAAAAATAAAATAAATTGATTGAAATATCAAAAAAATATTTAAAATAGACAAAAGTTCAAACAAAAATCTGTGTATTTTTGTTTAGATTTTTCTTTATTTTCGGTGAATTTCTTTTCATATTTTAGTTTTTTTTTTTTTTAGATGCATCTAGATGTATTTAAAAAGTGAAAAAAAAATAGTAAAATATGAAAAAAGTTAAGTAAAGACAAACGAAAACTGTCAAAATAATTTTTGAAAAATTAACCCAAACAAAGGCGCTTGAGCTTATTTTGAGTATTTAAATTAGGCAAAATTACTATTCAGGATAGATTTTTCAAAATTATTACACATTAATAAAAAAATTTAAAATTTTAATTATTAATATTTATAATATTTATCACCTTTACATATATACAATTTCATTGAAAATATCAAATAAATTATTTATTAATTTATTTATTTTATGAAGGGGCGCATTGCGCATCATAGCGTAGTGTATACATATCACTAGGAAGAACTCTCTGTCTCTCTCTCCCCTCTACCAGAGCCTCTTTGGAGAGAGGAATTGCGAGCAACAGTAGCAATCAACCCACCTTCACCAGTACTGCAATGAAGCTCCATTTCTTCAATATCCGAATTTAGGGTTTTTTTATCTCTTCTTCTTCTGCACAAATTCGCTGTGAAATAAGATTCAAAAAAGAAGACAATTATGGCCGCCCTTCTGGTTTCAAACCCTAGCCTTTTCTCTCCTTTCCTCGGCCGAAAACTGTAAGCCTCTCTCTCTCTCTCTCTCTCTCATATACATGTATGTATTCAATGGGGAAAGTCAATTCAATTTGATAAAATTCATATTCTTATCACAATTGTTTTTAATTCTAGGGTTGGTTATTTTACTAATTCGGGTTTTTTAATGCTTTTTGATTAATCTTTGTTTCTGGTTCAGTTCTCTTAGTAGCGATTCAAAGAGGTCTACCGTGTGTAGCTTGCATTTTAGGAGCCCTAGATGCGCAGTGGATACACCTTATGAAGGTATTGATAATGTTTAATTTTGTTCCAGGTGGGTTATTTAATGCCTAGTGTTTAATTTTGTTAGCAATTTGAAGCTATGTGTGTATGTGGTATGTTTGAGAATAGGAAGTAGATGTAATTGTATTTTTTTTTTGGCAAATTGTGACATTGGAAAATTTGAAGTACCCAGTTAACACTTGGGGCTTGTTTGATTGGGCAGGTTATGACATATGATTGGGATTATTAATCCATGGGACTCACATTCCATTGTTTGGCTATAAATTTTATTATTCGGATTAGATTCCAATGGTCATTTTATTCTACAAAATTGACCATTTTTTAATCATATTAATTAATAACGCAAAACGTACATATAATTGGAATTATATATTTCCAATATCTATTGCAAAACGAACATGGACAAGAGGAAATTACGTGTCACACTATTCCCCTCATTTTTAATCTTGCAAATAAAATAAGCCTTTACAATCTATGATATGTGGGTGCGGTCACTGATATATCATCTCAATATTTATTTATGTACTAGTGTATATATGGTCATTAGGATGTTGTATCTCATGCTTGTTTATTAGATTTCTTGGTAAATTGTATTTTTGTTGCAGAATACCCTTCTTATACTACCACAAGGGTACTGGAAATGTCTTTAGGTGTTTTTCTTACACCTTAACTTATTGGATTGCTGATTATTCACAATCAAAATCTTGTAGGTGCCAATTTGGCTTTAGATATATTTGACTTCTAATGGATAGCAACCGTAACTAATGCAGACAGTGTATAGCTACATCCATAATCAAATGTAAAATATATATTTTAGTGTAAAAGAGATAATATCATCATTTTCATCCATATTGTTAACAATATGATTGATTACGAGGGGTGCAAAGTGCTATGAGAATTTAAGGGATTGTTTGGGATAAACTAAATAAGTGCACTTTTTGACTTTTTATGAAATATGGATTGAGTATGGGTTGAGTTTGAAGTGATGTGGTAGAGAGATGATGTAACTTAAATAAGATGATGTGACTTAAATAGGATAGTGACTTTTTGACTTTTTAACTTTTTTTTTTTTATTATGCCAAACTAAGCCTAAATCTTGGGGAAGCATGAAGTAACTATGGCAAACTTGTAGAGTTAGTGTAATTTACTTAAAATGAAAATACTGAACCGAATGAAGTACACATGAAACTGTTGTACAAGCAATATAGTTTGTTTCTGACTGTGACACTTGGTGCTTAATAACTGTCCTGTGAATCTCAATCACTGGCCAACTTTGGTAAATTCTTGTTCGAATTTGTCAGAAATGCATGCTTTTTCCTGGTGATGTTTGCTAGTTGTTACTCAATTTGTTGCTTATAAAAGAAATGAATTTTACAACTCAGTTTGTAACACTATCTCCTCCATATTTAACCCTTTTTTTTTGTGTGTTTGTGGCCTATTGAGGATTTGATTTGAGTGATTTCGCCTTAAGATTTATAGCATTTATTTATTCTCTAGCTTCCGATGGAACTTCTCCGTAGCAAAGGCAAGAGAATAAAGAATGTATATTGCAAGGGTAATATGATCCGTGTATTAATTAGTCATTTAGTGAGACACAAATACCAAATAACCAATCCTGCCAGGTATCTTTAATATGAGAGGTAGTTCCTATCTGTGTGAGTAGACTATCTTTAAAAATCAAAGAGTAAAATACACTGACACTCCCTGAGGTTTATATTTATTACAATTTTTCCCCTCACGTTTTGGAAATTACATCTCCCCTCTTGATATTTAAAGTTTCATTACAGATTCCCCCCTTCTGCCCTTTAATTTTTTTAAGGTCAAATTACATATACCTCCCTTGAGATTTAGCTAAATTACAGATACCTCCTGAGATTTCGAAAATTACAGATACTTCCTTGAGGTTTATATTTTCATAACAAATTGCCTCCTGAGGTTTATATTTTCATAACAAATTGCCTCCTGAGGTTTATATTTTCATAACAAATTGCCTCCTGAGGTTTATATTTTCATAACAAATTGCCTCCTGAGGTTTATATTTTCATAACAAATTGCCTCCTGAGGTTTATATTTTCATAACAAATTGCCTCCTGAGGTTTATATTTTCATAACAAATTGCCTCCTGAGGTTTATATTTTCATAACAAATTGCCTCCTGAGGTTTATATTTTCATAACAAATTGCCTCCTGAGGTTTATATTTTCATAACAAATTGCCTCCTGAGGTTTATATTTTCATAACAAATTGCCTCCTGAGGTTTATATTTTCATAACAAATTGCCTCCTGAGGTTTATATTTTCATAACAAATTGCCTCCTGAGGTTTATATTTTCATAACAAATTGCCTCCTGAGGTTTATATTTTCATAACAAATTGCCTCCTGAGGTTTATATTTTCATAACAAATTGCCTCCTGAGGTTTATATTTTCATAACAAATTGCCTCCTGAGGTTTATATTTTCATAACAAATTGCCTCCTGAGGTTTATATTTTCATAACAAATTGCCTCCTGAGGTTTATATTTTCATAACAAATTGCCTCCTGAGGTTTATATTTTCATAACAAATTGCCTCCTGAGGTTTATATTTTCATAACAAATTGCCTCCTGAGGTTTATATTTTCATAACAAATTGCCTCCTGAGGTTTATATTTTCATAACAAATTGCCTCCTGAGGTTTATATTTTCATAACAAATTGCCTCCTGAGGTTTATATTTTCATAACAAATTGCCTCCTGAGGTTTATATTTTCATAACAAATTGCCTCCTGAGGTTTATATTTTCATAACAAATTGCCTCCTGAGGTTTATATTTTCATAACAAATTGTCCCTAATTTGTTATGAAAATATAACCTTCAGGGAGGTATCTGTAATTTTACTAAACCTCAGGGGGGTATATGTAATTTTACTAAACCTCGAGGGGGTATATGTAATTTGTCCTTTTTTAAATACCAATTTTGCCCTCACTAAGTAAATTACATTGACACCCCTCACATTTTAAAAATTACAATCCTCTCCCTAAGGTTAAAAGTAGCATTACCAATTGCCCCATCGGTTAGCATTAATTAGAAAAAAATTAATTGGGAAAAAAATTATTTGAAAAAAATAATTAATTGAAAAAAAAAATGTTAGTAAAATTTTTAAATTTCTGTTTAAAAACTAACGTAAATTCATTTTTTGAATTTACCTTTTTTTCTCAAATTTACAAACTGAGAACCATTTATAAACCAAAAAAATTATCAAATAAGTTTTTATGATAGTTTTTAAAATTTTTGTAAATAAAAATTGAAAATTGAAAACAAAATGGTTACCAAACAGGTTTTAGATGGTAAAAATATCGTAAAATTGACAAATAATTAAATAAGTTATCAACGTAAGAAATGACTTATTAAAAGATTCTTAATCTATGTATGGTTTGATATTTAGAATTTTTTAAAAAAATTAAAAATTAATTTGGTTAAGAAATAAAAAATAAAAAATAATTATCATTTTAACTTTTGGACAGGTTATATATATACGTATGACTGTTTCAATTTAATTTGTAAAACATTATTTCTAACCACTCGAAAGATAAAAATTATATAAAAATAAAAATTATTTTTTATTTTTTATTTCTTAACCAAATTAATTTTTAATTTTTTTAAAAAATTCTAAATATCAAACCATACATAGATTAAGAATCTTTTAATAAGTCATTTCTTACGTTGATAACTTATTTAATTATTTGTCAATTTTACGATATTTTTACCATCTAAAACCTGTTTGGTAACCATTTTGTTTTCAATTTTCAATTTTTATTTACAAAAATTTTAAAAACTATCATAAAAACTTATTTGATAATTTTTTTGGTTTATAAATGGTTCTCAGTTTGTAAATTTGAGAAAAAAAGGTAAATTCAAAAAATGAATTTACGTTAGTTTTTAAACAGAAATTTAAAAATTTTACTAACATTTTTTTTTTCAATTAATTATTTTTTTCAAATAATTTTTTTCCCAATTAATTTTTTTCTAATTAATGCTAACCGATGGGGCAATTGGTAATGCTACTTTTAACCTTAGGGAGAGGATTGTAATTTTTAAAATGTGAGGGGTGTCAATGTAATTTACTTAGTGAGGGCAAAATTGGTATTTAAAAAAGGACAAATTACATATACCCCCTCGAGGTTTAGTAAAATTACATATACCCCCCTGAGGTTTAGTAAAATTACAGATACCTCCCTGAAGGTTATATTTTCATAACAAATTAGGGACAATTTGTTATGAAAATATAAACCTCAGGAGGCAATTTGTTATGAAAATATAAACCTCAAGGAAGTATCTGTAATTTTCGAAATCTCAGGAGGTATCTGTAATTTAGCTAAATCTCAAGGGAGGTATATGTAATTTGACCTTAAAAAAATTAAAGGGCAGAAGGGGGGAATCTGTAATGAAACTTTAAATATCAAGAGGGGAGATGTAATTTCCAAAACGTGAGGGGAAAAATTGTAATAAATATAAACCTCAGGGAGTGTCAGTGTATTTTACTCTTTGATTTTTAAAGATAGTCTACTCACACAGATAGGAACTACCTCTCATATTAAAGATACCTGGCAGGATTGGTTATTTGGTATTTGTGTCTCACTAAATGACTAATTAATACACGGATCATATTACCCTTGCAATATACATTCTTTATTCTCTTGCCTTTGCTACGGAGAAGTTCCATCGGAAGCTAGAGAATAAATAAATGCTATAAATCTTAAGGCGAAATCACTCAAATCAAATCCTCAATAGGCCACAAACACACAAAAAAAAAGGGTTAAATATGGAGGAGATAGTGTTACAAACTGAGTTGTAAAATTCATTTCTTTTATAAGCAACAAATTGAGTAACAACTAGCAAACATCACCAGGAAAAAGCATGCATTTCTGACAAATTCGAACAAGAATTTACCAAAGTTGGCCAGTGATTGAGATTCACAGGACAGTTATTAAGCACCAAGTGTCACAGTCAGAAACAAACTATATTGCTTGTACAACAGTTTCATGTGTACTTCATTCGGTTCAGTATTTTCATTTTAAGTAAATTACACTAACTCTACAAGTTTGCCATAGTTACTTCATGCTTCCCCAAGATTTAGGCTTAGTTTGGCATAATAAAAAAAAAAAAGTTAAAAAGTCAAAAAGTCACTATCCTATTTAAGTCACATCATCTTATTTAAGTTACATCATCTCTCTACCACATCACTTCAAACTCAACCCATACTCAATCCATATTTCATAAAAAGTCAAAAAGTGCACTTATTTAGTTTATCCCAAACAATCCCTTAAATTCTCATAGCACTTTGCACCCCTCGTAATCAATCATATTGTTAACAATATGGATGAAAATGATGATATTATCTCTTTTACACTAAAATATATATTTTACATTTGATTATGGATGTAGCTATACACTGTCTGCATTAGTTACGGTTGCTATCCATTAGAAGTCAAATATATCTAAAGCCAAATTGGCACCTACAAGATTTTGATTGTGAATAATCAGCAATCCAATAAGTTAAGGTGTAAGAAAAACACCTAAAGACATTTCCAGTACCCTTGTGGTAGTATAAGAAGGGTATTCTGCAACAAAAATACAATTTACCAAGAAATCTAATAAACAAGCATGAGATACAACATCCTAATGACCATATATACACTAGTACATAAATAAATATTGAGATGATATATCAGTGACCGCACCCACATATCATAGATTGTAAAGGCTTATTTTATTTGCAAGATTAAAAATGAGGGGAATAGTGTGACACGTAATTTCCTCTTGTCCATGTTCGTTTTGCAATAGATATTGGAAATATATAATTCCAATTATATGTACGTTTTGCGTTATTAATTAATATGATTAAAAAATGGTCAATTTTGTAGAATAAAATGACCATTGGAATCTAATCCGAATAATAAAATTTATAGCCAAACAATGGAATGTGAGTCCCATGGATTAATAATCCCAATCATATGTCATAACCTGCCCAATCAAACAAGCCCCAAGTGTTAACTGGGTACTTCAAATTTTCCAATGTCACAATTTGCCAAAAAAAAAATACAATTACATCTACTTCCTATTCTCAAACATACCACATACACACATAGCTTCAAATTGCTAACAAAATTAAACACTAGGCATTAAATAACCCACCTGGAACAAAATTAAACATTATCAATACCTTCATAAGGTGTATCCACTGCGCATCTAGGGCTCCTAAAATGCAAGCTACACACGGTAGACCTCTTTGAATCGCTACTAAGAGAACTGAACCAGAAACAAAGATTAATCAAAAAGCATTAAAAAACCCGAATTAGTAAAATAACCAACCCTAGAATTAAAAACAATTGTGATAAGAATATGAATTTTATCAAATTGAATTGACTTTCCCCATTGAATACATACATGTATATGAGAGAGAGAGAGAGAGAGAGAGGCTTACAGTTTTCGGCCGAGGAAAGGAGAGAAAAGGCTAGGGTTTGAAACCAGAAGGGCGGCCATAATTGTCTTCTTTTTTGAATCTTATTTCACAGCGAATTTGTGCAGAAGAAGAAGAAGAGAGACAAAAACCCTAAATTCGAATATTGGAGAAATGGAGCTCCATTGCAGTGCTGGTGATGGTGGGTTGATTGGTACTGTGGCTCGCAATTCCTCTCTCCAAAGAAGCCCCGTAGAAGCGAGAGAGAGAGAGAGAGAGAGAGGGAGCTCTTCCTAGTGATTACACTACGCTATGATGCGCAATGCGCCCCTTCATAAAATAAATAAATTTGCCGGTTTATTTATTTAATATTTTGAATGAGATCGCACATGTGCAAACTGTAGAAAATTGTTGCCTTTCGCTGGGGATAATTTTAAGGCGAAATAACTTGCCCGTTGAGCGAAAGAAATTTTTTTTTTACTAAAAGGTGATAAACATTATAAACATTAATAATTAAAATTTTTAATTTTTTTATCGACAATGCTACGTAGCTCAAATTTTGTGGCTTAAAAGTGGCTCAAATGGCCAAAACGACGTCGTTTTGAGTACAGAACAACATAAAAATGGCCAAAACGACGTCGTTTTGGCCATTTGAGCCACTTTTGAGCCACAAAATTTGAGTTACGAGACATTTTCCTTTTTTTATTAATGCGTAATAATTTTGAAGAATACTATTGATTGATTGGTAATTTTTTTAAAATTTAATGAATGAAGCTTGACAACATGGATTGAAGGGATGAAAATATATACACATACTAGCATAATTATTCGTGCGCATGTGTATAAGTGAATTTTTTTTTTTTTTTATGTCATTAATTGTATGTTTTAAGTTCTTTATAATAAATACAAGTCATAATTTAATTGGTAAAAATTAAAAAATAAATCAAAAAAATTATATTTATGATAAAATATAAATAAATTTCGTCTTATCAGTTTCGTAAATTTAATTTATTATATGATAGTGGTAAATTATATTTGTCAATATATTGATTTTTTTCATGTTTTGTAAAGTCTAAAAATTTGTCTAGCATCAAAATTATAATCTATCTTATGTTATAAGATTTACGTAAAAATTGATTAGAATTCACTTGTAATATTAAATTTAGGCTTAACATTAGATTTACGCCAACTTGTCATTCACATAATCATTAAAAATTATCTTTGTCTATTCTCATCTTATCTGAATCATTTGACCTATCTACTTATAAAATTAGTAAATAGATATTTGTAAATATTTTTTATAATAATTAAAAAAATTGAACTTTGTTTAAAAAAATTATATATATTTATGTTCAAAACAATTAAATGAATAGTTATATATATTTATAGATGAAAAAATTATCTAAGATAAAGCCATCCTAAATTGTGGATGATATTCTAGTCCTAATAAATTTAAATTTTGTCATAGCTTATCAATTCATGACTAATATGAGAAAATTTGGAGGGGTTTTAATATTGGATTAAACACTAAAAAGTGGCTAAAAAAATTTAGTTCAAGTCGATTTTTTTGTCAATAATTCTTGATTTAAGTCTAGTCCTTGGAGAATCATCCAGTTCATGTCTAATCCATGAGTTAGTAAATCCACCTATTTATGTAATTTTTAATTAGTAAATATTTTTTTAAAAAAATTTATAACAAAATAGGAATTATGTACATATTTGTTTGGTGTATTTATTAATAATTTTAAAATTAATTAAGAAATAATGTAGTTGTTCTTAAGAGAATAAATTACATTGGTAGTCCTTATATTTTAACTCTTGTGTTATTTTTGTCCTTGCAATTTTAATTTGCTCGATTTTGATTATGAATTTATAATTTTGTCTCAATTTGGTCCAATGGTTAAAATTGCTTTTTTTTTATTTTTTTTATTGAAAATACACATGAGCAACATCTATTGTAATTTTATAGATAAAATTATAGATTTGTTCAACTCAATAAGTTAATGTCAACCAACTCAATAACTATTTTATTTTACCTTAACCGACATTATTAATTGGTCCAAATTGAAACAAAATTTAAAATTAATGGTCAAAATCAAGCTAATTAAAATTACAAAGATCAAATTGACATAAGAGACAAAAAGCGGTAGTATTGATACAATTTATCCCTCTTAAAATATGTCTAATATTGATTGTATTAATATTAAGATATATTTATATTTGAAAACTATTTGAGACCAGATCAGGCTAGAACTTAAATAAAAAATTGATGACTTATTAAAAATATTTAATAATTATAAATTTAAATTTAATCAATTTTTCATTTAATTTTTTTCGTAATAGAATTAGGTTGTTTGATAATTATAATTTATAGTTCCAATTTTTCTTTATATTTTTCAAAAAATATTTTAAAATTATATATAATTATAATTTCTTTTGGAACTTTCCTTTTCAATCTCAAATTAGTTATAACTTGAATTATATATAATTTATTTTTGACTTCTCCTCTACAAAAGCTAACAATGAAGATAAATTGTTTTTTGAACATTGTAAAAAATAAATAAAGAAATATATTATCAATAATAATAATAACAAAGCATATTTTTATTTATCATGTGATATCTCACCACTACATTGATAATATACATTAATAATAAAACTCATTACAATAATACAGTAATAATATATCAGATGATAAATAACATGTGATCACAATAATTTTTTATAGTTATACAAAAGTACCTAAAATGATATATAAAAAAATATATATATGATCCATATTCAATTTTTATATAGTAAAATTCACACTTAATCTCAACCACACATTAGTTTTCTAAATCAATTTATTATCCAAACTATCTGATGATACAGTTTATCCCAGTGAGTGTAGCGAACTGGTCCAAGCTCCTCAAGCCCAAGTCCAAATGATCAAGTCCACCGGATAACCTACAAACAAGTTCCACAGGGAACGGGGTAGTCCCCCAGGGAACCCTCCGACGAGCAAGTTAGGAAGAGAAGTAGAGTATAGAAGGAGAGATTAGAGATAGAAAGTTTAACCTTCTTCTTATCTTCAACGTTTGCTTATATCCTTTGGTAATCATTTCGCTGTCCCTTCCCACCTGCCCTTCTCGCCGAAAGTCTATGCTGTAGCTTATCTTGTTCAGGGTAAGGGGGTCATGTTCCGACGGGGAGGTGTTGTCGTAATAAATGCTGTGATGGACTGCATTAATGGTGATGTGCAGTGGCAATAACTCTGCAGATCTTTGTCTGCTGATGTGGCTCATCCTTCACCTGCCATGTGTCTGAATGCCACCAGTTGGGTTATGTATTGGGCTCCAAGTGATGGGCTTGGGTTGTCTATAATGATTCATGGCCTTTGTGGACTTGTACACGTCAGTAGTCCCTCATTCCCGAGTGCAACTTTAGTCCAGCGAAGGGAATAGTAATGAAGAAGGTGAGGATGTTAGGGAGTGGTAGTATGGAGGTCGACCGGCAGGGGTGACCGAGCGGGTGAACCGACCTGAAGGTGGTCCGACTGTGCAGGGCGACCGACTGGGAAGGCCAACCGCGAAGGGGGTCGACCGTGAAGGTTGGCCGAGTGGGAAGGTCGACCACGAGAAGGGGCGACCATGAAGGTTGGCCGAGCGGGAGGGCCGACCGTGTAGAGGGCGGTCGCGAAGAGGGCCGACCGCGAATGTTGGCCAGGCGGGAGGGCCGACTATGAAGAGAGTGGTCGCGAAGAGGGCCGACCGCGAATGTTGGCCGGGCGGGAGGGCCGACCATGAAGAGGGCGGTCGAAGAGGGCCGACCGTGAAGAGGGCGGTCGCGAAGAGGGCTGACCGCGAATGTTGGCCGGGCGGGAGGGCCGACCATTGCGGAGGGCCGACTGCGAAGGGTGAGGTGGAGGGGCTTGGGGCTCAAGAGGCGGCGTGTCACGTGGTGATTTGATGTGGAAAAGATAGGGTAAGGGGAGGAGATAGTGGATCGTGGTCGTACACGTGGTAACATCCCGTAAGGGGGGAAGATTAGGCGTTGGATCAGAAATGAAACGTTAGGTCATTATGAGTGTTGGAAAGACAGTTTTGGCGGATGATTTTGAAAAGTTTTCAAACTGGCGAAAATTAATTGGGATCCTTGGAATACGGGCAAACCGTGGGCTTTTGGCATTATTCGATTCACCTACTTGTTTACGAAAAATCAAAATATTCCAAGTGTGAATTCCTTTGTTGCTCACAATACACCTCTACAACACTTTTTCGATTTCCTTGCACCTGCCTCCGAAGCGATTCGCAGACATACCACAAAAATGGCCCAAGAAGGAACTGCAATTGCTAGGGTGGACCTACTTGGAGATGATGATACAGTGGAGTTAGCGCAGCAATACAGGATGGAGAGGGTGGGGGAGTCGATTGTACGATCCCACAGTTCCACCATGATAGCAACTCCAAAGCCAATCAACCAGGCAGAACCTGATCACTGGCACACAAAGGCAGATAAATCAACGGTCACTGCAGTGAATTTGGAGGCTATTCGCGAAAAATACCAGGTACCTACCGAAATAGAGTTGTCGTTGCCGATGTCAACGGAGAGGCCATCCGATGCCAGGCTAGGGCAGTTTGCTCTTTATGAGGAGGCATTGAAAGGAGGACTGAGGCTACCCCTGCCGCAGGTGGTAGTAGATGTCCTAAATCGCTTGGAGGTGGCGCCGGGCCAACTAATGCCCAACGCATGGAAGATCTTGCTGTCCTATGCAAGTGCCTGGCCGAAGGCGAACGAAGGGGCGGCCATGACGGTGGACGAATTCTTCGCGTGCTACAAGGCCTCGGGGCAGCAAGAGACTTGGGTCACTCTGCAGGCGGCAGCAGGGAAAGGGCTGGTGGCGGGGCTGCCGTCGTCGATCAAGGGGTGGAGACCACAGTGGTTTTATGTGTCTGCCAGTGGAGGAGTCAGAGCGTGGACCATTTGGAAGGTGCCCACCAAGTCGATGGAGCCAAGGTTAGGAGCAGCAACAGCAGAGGAGAGGGTGTAGAGGGTAAAGGAGTGGAGGGAGAAAGAAAGGGCCAAATGGGACGAGCTCGTTCAGCCGTCTACCTTGTTTGAGGCAAGGTTGGGTCCACAGCCGAGCGGTGGGGACCTCGACTGAGCGGAGTTAGAAGCGAGGATGAGGGCTCAAGAGGCGGAGGATCAGACCATCCTTGCGAAAGTCCAAAAATTCAAAGAGTCCCAGGCCGACCGACCACCAAAACCAGTTGCAAGGGAGAGAATTCGACCTCGCCCCAAACCCTTGGGAGAGAAGGACTTAGGCGAATTTGTGCCGCG